ATATATATATATATATATATATATGACTATATTTTACTGTGGAACTTTATCATGTGGTCTTTCGTTTTATTATAAATCCTATGTAAGTGGTGGATTAAATAAATTTAGTGTAAATTATCCTATTATTTATAAACAGTCCATGAGTCACGTCCAATTAGATGAACATTATCTTTTTGGTGTTTTGTTTTATTCTTTCTCACAAAAGTTGATAACTATTGTTACAGGTGTCGACATGCTTTCTGTCACAATTGTGGAGTAGAAGCCTCCGTAACTTCTCATACCCGTCTTTGTCCAAGCTGTAATGAATAATGCGTTTTTGGTCATCTTGCTGTAATACTACAGGTTAAATGCAGGATGCGGCATTACGTAATAAGGAGGAACTCATCTATTCGCCGTCACTTTGCTTATTAATTCCTTCATGATACTAGTATTATCATCATTAATGGTTCAGTTTGTTTACATGTTTATAATATTTAATGGGATTAATATCACTTTTGGATGTTTTTTCATATATGTAGAATTTGGATCTTCCTTGTCTTTTCTATCATAGTTAATAATCCAAAGAGTATATTTTACAAGTAGTGATACCTATACATCTCATTTTATCGTTCACACACATTTTTTTAATTTTTAATCGTCGAATTGACTGAATTGAAGAATATCAAATGATAACAATTAAAAAGAAGCATGTGAAAAGGTAAAAAAAGTGTGTGAACCACCCTATTTTACTCTATCATTCAAGACTAGTGGTTGATTTATTTCTTATTCTGCCATTCCTAGAATCAAGATCCCTAAAATTTCTGAATTACGGTGAGTTTATTTGATGTTTGTTGAAGAAAATGGAGTGGTTGATGGGTATGAATGAAATATTCCTGAGATTTTGAAGGCCCCATATGAGCAAGATTCAAACGAAGGTCTTTGCATGGTCTAAAATTTTGGTGGCTCTATTTTCTTTATATATTTTTAAGTGTATAAATTGATATAACGCAAAAGAAACTAAATAAAAATGAAGCATAGTGTGTACCTCTCTGTATCCCCTATGTTTTTGGGTTCGAAACTTTTTATTTTTTTAATACAAAAAGCATGGTGTGGTGGTTATGTAACAAAAAGCATGGTGTGGTGGTTATGTACCAATCATATCACTGTACAAAATATTGAAATTAGAACCATTCTTGCTCATCCAGAGTTCGTCTCAAGAAAAATTTATCTGTTAAACAAATAACTGATTATGATATTAATAGCATGAACTGTTAGTTTTTTTAATTGTATTTTTGCTCACTTCTTAAAGTTAGAATGATTTTTTTGTCAGTAGTTCTATATATAGCGAGGCCAAGAGTTTTGAACTGATGACCCACACAAAATATTTCCCTCGCTCGTGTGTCAACGTGCCATCCACGATTACTAGGGATGGCAACGGAGCGGATTGGGTTCGGATGTGCCATCCCCATAATCGTACCCGTTTGTTTTCTCCGTACCTGAAACCGTAAAAAACCCGAACGGGTATTCCCTGTAACCGAATCCGTCGGGTAATGGATTCCCCATCAGATAACGGTTTTCCCATAACCGTAAAATTTAACTAATTAAACAGTGAAAGGGATGAGGAGGCCGGTGGTGTTTCGGTGGCTGGTTCTCGGGGGAGTTCGAGGTGATGGTGCGAGAGGGACGAGGAGAGAGAGAGTGAGAGGTTGCAGAGATGATGGGCGTCTGGAGGGTGTGGTTTAAGGGCTCGCCAGAGACGGTGGGGTGGTGTGGGTAGTGGTGCTGTGTGTGCGTAGCTCGGGAGAAGGAGAGAGAGAGAGAGAGAGAACTTGCAGAGAAGTGAGGTGAGGGAGAGAGCACGGGAAGAAGAGAAAGGTGAGGGATGAGGGAGAGAAGATGGTGGTGTGGTCCTTGTTTTGCATGTGTGTACGCGTGCGTGTATGGTGCTCGGGGAAGGGAGAAGCACAGAGCACAAAAATGGGACTTTTGTTGTCTCAAGACTTTTGCATGTGTGGGTACGCGTGTACGTGTGGTGCTCAAGACTTTTGTAGTCGTATTAAAGAACTCAAAGGTTTTAAATATAATAAATATTTATGTGTGGTGCTCAAGACTTTTATATTCTCCCATGTAGTGTTAAAAGAACTCAAAGGTTTTAAATATAATAAATATTTATATTTTTTATTAAAGAATGAAAACGGGGCGGGTTTGGGTATGGGTTTGGAGCGAATAGCCCTATAACCATAACTGAATCCGAAACAAAAAATTTTACCCAACGGTTACCCATAATCGTAAAAAATCCGAAATTTGCTTCCCGAAATCTAATTGTTCGGACCGATTACTTGCAGGTATCTGATTTGATGAATTAAATTGTCATCCCAGTTACGGTGTCCAAGACCGATGATGACAGGCAGTGCGTGCTTGTATTGTCCCTTCAAGGATTACCAAAAAAATATAATATGTTGTATAATTGTATTGCTAATTTTTTTTATCTATTAAATTTGGAATATGTCAACAAAAAATTGATTGGAATAAGTTGGCAAATTTTATTTTATTTTATTTTTTTAAATCGGGTCAGAAGTTTAGAATTTTAATAATCTATATACGCATTTCAATTTTCATTCTATTTGTGGCAAAAGTAGAATTTCGTCCAACATGATCGTGCATTGAAATTAATAAAGTAGGTAATTTTAACATACTTTCTTTGAACTTTTCACACACATTTTTTTATTTATAGCATCAGATTGAATAAATCAATCAAGAGTAACGAACATGATTGTGTGAGGCTAAAATATGTATGTATTTTATAAAGGAAACTAATGAAAAGGTCTTGAAAACTTTGAGTTTTAATGATAAGGACAAAATAAAGGGTAAAGTGAATAGTACCAGGATTGACTTTTTAGTGTAAAAATATGGTTTTTCGTTAAAGTGAACAGTACCGGGTGCTTTTCGTTAAGTTCCCATTTTATAATCTCCCTTGAAATAATTCGCATTCCTAACTTAACACATAAAGTCTTGGATAATCATTTTGGTTCCTCACTAATCATGTGTTTACTAATGGATAAAGGAGTTCTCCATTCCTCCGTCGTTATTGGATCATGAATGCTTCAAAGGGATAGGCGAGAACATTCGAAGTTAAGAAACGAAGCCGGCAGCCTGGTTTGGCTCATAACCGCAATCAAACTTTTACATGTGATTTATGTGTTGAGCAAATGCATAAGGTACTCCTCTTATTCAAGATCAAGGGTTGCACCCATTTTTACTGTGAAAAATGTATTGTTAAATTTGTTGAGTCCAACCTCGAATACAATGTCACAAACATTATGTGCCCCTTACCGGGCTGCCTCGGCATGTTAGACCTTGAGTATTGCCGTCCAATTCTCCCACGCGCCGTCATTGACAGGTGGTGCAATGCCTTGAGAAGAAAGAAGATTATTACATGGACGAGTAAATTGTAACTATGGTTCCTTAACTTTAACTCAATTGGAGCAATGGTCCTTCAACTAAAAATTTATTACCATTGGTCCTTCAACTCATCAAAACGTGCAGCTATGGTCCCTCAACTTTAATTCAACTGGAGAAATGGTCCCTTAACTTTAACCCAATTGTAGCAATGGTCATTCCAACATAACTCGTTTTGACAAAAATTTTTACGTAGTTGACGAAAAGGATCATAATTACACACTTTGATGAATTGAGGGACCTTAATTATATAAATGGTTATTCCAACATAACATAATTTGACAAAATTTTGAAGAAATTGATGAAAATGATTATAGCTACACATTTTGATAAGTTGAGGGATCAATGGTAATGGATTTTTAGTTGAGGGATCATTGCTCCAATTTAATTAAAGTTCAGGGATCATTGCTATAATTTACTCTTACAGGACTGACTACAAGTTCTTGTACTGCCCCTACGAGGATTGCTCAGCCCTGTCGTTGCTTCATAAGAATTATGATGGCACCAGATTGTCTTGTTATGTATGTTTTTATTGCAAGAGAGACTTCTGCGCTACTTGTAAGGTTCCTTGGCATACAGGATTTGATTGTACCAATAGCTATGAAGAGTGGATGGTGGAGGAGCTTGGGAAGAAAAGTAACTGGAAGAGGTGCGCAAGTTGCAATTACAACGTCGAAAAATCTGATGGGTGCGATAACATGAGATGCAGGTCAGCTATATATACACACTTCTGCTGTTAAATTAGTTAATAGAAAATTTGACATAGGTTGAACACTTTAATGATATAGGGGAGTGGTCAGTTAGTAACTTAATACGGCTATCTAACCTGTGCAAAATTTCACTTAGTTCGAAAGGTTTAGTTATTTTATGTGATATGATATATAGATAAATAAGTGGTTGGTGATAAACCATAAAATGTTCTTAATACTAATTTAAAGAATTGAAGGTTTTCGGATTTGAGTGAAAATTTGCAAGTATGACCTAAAACAACACGTTTGTTTGCCTTCACTAACTTGGACTGGACTGGACTAGTTTTTAGTGTAATCCTCTGTTTGTTGGCTCCCAGGACTAAGTTTAAGGGGGCGTTTGTTGCACCGGACTATCTCGGACTGGACTAGCTTCAAGGACTAAGCTGGACTGGCTTAGACTAGACTAAGCTGGACTAACTTAGTGAAGCGTTTGATGCAGTGTTGGACTAAGAAGCTGGATAATAACAAATTCTAATATTATATTATTTAATATATAAATTATTAATATTTTATTATGATCTAGGTGACCGGAGATGACGAGGAGTCTATCGGAGTGGTTGTTGAGCATGACGAGGACGAGAGAGGATAATCTTAGCTAGTCCCATGATTATTAGGGGGTCTCGCTAAGACCTCTTAGTGAAGGGTTTTGTCCATGCTAGTCCCCTTTAGTCTCATTAATGTTAGTCCCAGCATGGAACAAATACAGTATTGGACTAACAGCTAGTCCAGTCCAGTCCAGTCCAGTCCCACTTAGTGAGGGCAAACAAAGTGGGACTCGCTTTCACTAACTCTTTCGTTAGGTGGTCCAGCGAGACCCCCAAATATGAGCGGACTAGCTAAGATCGTCGTCGTCCTCCTGCTCACTCGCCTCTTCATGTTCGTCCTGCTCGCCCTACTTGTCATGCTCGTCTTGATCATCCTGATCGATCTCTTCCTGATCGTTGGACTAACCACATCGGCCACGCTCGCTCGCTCGCTCGAGCAGGCCAAGAAATCGTCAGTCTCTCTCTGACTCATCATTTACAAATTCCATTTGTTGTTTTGATTATGTGAAATCTGGATTGCTTTGATTCTGTGAAATCTGGGTTGGTCTTATGCTGCGAAATTGTTTGTTCTTCAATGATTGCTGCTTCTGGGTATTCTATGATGTAGTTGTACGAATTTGATTTCTGCTTCTGTGAAATTGCAAATTCCATTTGCTACCACTATAAGTTAATTCATCTGTGTCTCTTGATTCAGTCTTTGACTCCTGATACATTGTTTAGGTGGCTTTTAACCTCCTGCATGACAGACATGCACTCCCTCTGTCTCGCTGTCTCTCTTATTCAGTTATTCTGGTTCACACTTGACTCATATTTGATGTTTTGTTTTGGTGCTTGAGCATAAACTTTTGGTGGGTTGATTGCTTCGCAATTGAAATTGATTTTGCATGGGGTGAGGTGGGGGGTGGGTTTTCTGTCTGTCCCTTTGATTGATTGAACTAGAACTATATATCCATCGTCAAAATTCAAGAGAGATAGAGGATATAATTTGTATTTAATTTGGTCCGTTATATTATTAGTATATGATGCGTTTGTATTGATCAAGTTGAATTTGGGTGGTTTGGTAGAGAGTGCGAGAGAGAGAAGTAGTAGTACAAGTGTTTTCGGCGCAATGTCACTTTCTATCGGCATGGTCTGTATCCAATCCAACGATGATATTGATATTTGAATATTTGATTGCATTTCCCTTCAATTTAATTTAATCCAAATTACAATCCGGATTGATGCTTCTCCGATTCTCCTCTCTTCTCCTCTTGTCTTTACATTTTGATTTCCACCTACATATTCTTCCATTCATTCCTTCCTTCATTCAAACATGCCTCTTTTCTTTCTATAATTATATCTCCTGCTTGCAACTTTCCATGTCATGAAATTTCATTTGGATTTGGGTGGCAATTTCCTTTCTTCTTCTCGTTGTTGTTGTTGTTGTTGTTGTTGTATTGGGAGGCTGTTCGTTCGTGTTGCCATTGGCAAATGAAGCTCGAGTATTTAGACATTTGGCTGCCTTACTTTTCTGGGACAAGGACTAGAGGTTTGTAGCTGCCTAAACCCCATGATACAATGATGCTTTGTTTCTATTACTCTGCATTTCTTCTATTCTATTTCATTTTGAATGTATATCACTACTACTCCGTTGGCATGACATTTTACTTGATTTTAAAGGCTTCGAATTTGATTCCAAAAACCATTGCTTTGCGGTTGCCGTTGTAATCATTCAAATTTTGTTAATCAACTTGCTGTCTAATATGTTTTCTAGTTATCTGATGGAAGACCAATAATAAGGAAATAAAGAATTGAAAAGAAATAGTTACATGTGATGGATTTAAATTCCCTTGCTTTCCTGCACACCTTCGTAGATTATCATCTTCAGCGTTTTGTATCCTCTGGATTCCAGGTTCCAATGCATGATAATTCGTTTTACAACAATACTACCCATAGTTGAAGTGGTTCCCATACCAAATGTCAGCGTCTCTTGCAGCAATACTAGGAGGTGTTGCAGGAGCCGTGACTTTGGTGGGGATCAGTATCATACTCATATGGTTCTGTATATCTTGCAATAGGAATGTTTCAAGAACTTCTGAAATTGGTTCTTCAGGTAACTCTTACATATGGTTCTTCAGGTAACTCTTATATCACATATGATCACTGTTCTAACCTTACATGTGAAAGAAAAAAAAGTTAATGAATTTGCAAGGCCTCTTGACATATTGGTTTCTCTTTCACGGCATTCAAGTATTATATAATTTTGAGTTTGTTTTAGGGTGATAGGGGTTGTGCATTAACTGCTTATATATATTTGAAGAATGACCAGTATATGTTGTTTGAACAAAATTTAAAAAACTCTTTGTACAGGTTCTGGTCGTAAGTTTGAATCAGTTTTTTTTCTTCCTTACCAACTTTTCTTGCTGATGAATTTGATCGACTCGTGTGAAAGATACACTTCCTGCTGAACCACAACGAAGAAATGGAAGGTATGCACCTTTATTAGCTTCTGTCTTGGGTTGATGTTTTGTTGCCGTTGATGAGGAAATGCACCAGAATGAAGTGCGGAGTCTGCGGACTATACTAATACACCAAGTTAGAGAAAAGCAGCAGCATTGGTGATGTTTTAATCAGCATTCTCAGTAAGTGTACAAAGAAGCACAATTCTTGGAGTTGCTTCTTTGGGGTAATTGTTGTGTTGGTTGTGCCATGAATGTATCGTTCATGTTGTATCATAGTCATTGTTTGATTCAATTGTTGTAAGTTATTCTTTGGACGAAATCGTTAAACAGGAGTTGTAAAATTCAATTGTTTTGTATGGAAAGCTACGCTCAAAGTGCAAAGGATGTCTCTCTATCAAATTTAGCAAAGTCAGATAGTGATGTTACAATTGTATGTTAAAATTGGGATGAATGAATATGGTATTATTCATGGATTTTGGGAGGCTGTGGAGAAGAAATCGAAATTTTCTTCCTCCAAATTTGTGGTATGATAAGTTTGAGTTTTTAACAATTTTGGGACATATGGGTTGCTGAATGTTTATAGATTTCTCAATTTTAGAGGCTTAGAAGGATTTTAGACCAAAAAGTGAGAAAGTTTGATGTACTGATTTTGAATTCCTATGTTGTAGGAAAGTGTTGTTTGTTTTTGCAAATTGCAATGCTACAATGCACAAAAACTCAATATTTTAATGTAATTATCATTTGATTTGACTGTGGGTATTTTGCAGTTGAGTTGGATGTAATTATATCGTTAAAATTTGTAATTTCACTATTTTTCGTTATCCTGGTTTTTAGTCCGACACTGCACCAAACGTTTCACTAAGCTAGTCCAGCTTAGTCTAGTCTAAGCCAGTCCAGCTTAGTCCATGAAGCTAGTCCAGTCTGAGACAGTCCGATGCAACAAACACACCCTAAATGGATAGGATCATGAGATTACTTTGTGGAGCGAGTTCAAATGAATGATTAGCGCCACAATTAAAGACTAGTTTTGATTTTTAATTTTTATATTTGGTTAATTTAAAAATATTATGAATTTTTTTTTCCACGAGTATTAAAAATAATATCAATCTCACCTCGAGAAAAGAATGAATGTTTGATGTGCTTATAAGAAATAGACTTTTTCTCAGATTATAAATTAATTTTATGATGTAAGTTCAACTTTTTTTCACAAACTTTAGAATCCTTTTTGACAAAAGAAGCTACCTATATGATAAATTCAACAATTAAACGCAAGTATCCAAATCTTATGTTATTTGCTTACATAAACGTCGCATGAGTCTAAGGTCTCACAAACTTCTCCTTATTCGTTCTCTTAGGTCACTAGAGGAGGATTTCCTACACTTATTATTTCTCTTTGATAATGGAATCTCCCCACCATGCATATGATCAGCTCTTCTTTTGTGTTTCATGACCTTAAGTTTTTGTTCTAGTTTTTGGCATCAACATGATCTTACATTTTTGGTCTAGTTTTTGGCAACAATACTAAGGGGCGATGATATGTGAAACAAAAACTCAGGCACTTACTAACACACTCTGTCACAACAGAATCATACAACAATAACGATGACAAAGCTTTTTCCCACCAAGTGGGGTCAGCTTCACAACAGAATCATGAAAGAGAAAAAAAATTCGCATAGACTGGACGTCAGGTTGGGCTCCTAATTACCGACATGAACATATTAGTCAAAGTTCTTTTATATGTGATTTCTGTGTTGAGCCAACGGATGTGAAAGACTTATTCAAGATAAAGGGTTGCAACCATTTTTACTGTCGTGAATGCGTTGTTAAATTCATAGTGTCCAAGCTCCAAGACAATGCCACAAACATTAAGTGCACCGTACCAGGCTGCATGGGCATGCTAGACCTTGAGTACTGTCGGAAAATTCTGCCAAACAACGTCTTTGATCGGTGGCGCAATGCTGTGTATAGGAAAAGGATTATGGAATCTAAGACTCACAAGTACTTCTACTGTCCCTTCAAGGATTGCTCGGCCATGTTAATATATAAGAATGACATGAAACCGAGTTGGTGGCTGTGTTCTCGTTGCAAAGGAGAGATCTGCGCTAGTTTTAAGGTTCTTTTGTTGGAATATGAGTATGAGTTTGACATATTGAACCGGTTAGTGTATGAATTCAATATGGAAAAGTCTTATTGATAAGCTTGAAGTAATCCTATTCTTTTTGGGATTCCTGGTATTGAGAATTATCGCAAGATTCAGACTTAACCTTGTATTTGGTTTGGAGTCCTCGCTTGTGTTGATATCTTTTGGGAGATTGTTTCCCATACTGATTCTAATAGGAAAATAAGTTTGGAAGACATTCGATATGTGTGTGTGTGTGTGTGTGTGTGTGTGTATGAACATTGGCCACTGCTCTTGCAATCTATCTGCTTATTTTGTACCAAAGACCTATTATTTGGAGAGCAATTGTGTTTTGCTAAAGAGGAGAAGGCTAATAGTTCCAAGGCTGCAATGGCTTCTTCTGCATCGAGTTCTGCAGGTATGTTTCCTCTCTGTTCTTGTACTGTGATATTGTTCTTGTGTTTCGTGATTCAATAGCATATCTGTGATCTATGGACTGTGTTGAATATGTCTTACGTCCTTGGCATACAGGATATGGTTGCGCCGAGTTTCAAAAACTAAGCAAGACCAAGGGTGGTCGTGAATCTGGTGATGAGGATAAGATGTTGGAGGAGCTCGCCATGAAAAACAAGTGGAGGAGGTGTCCAGGTTGCAAAACTATGTTGAAAAATCTGGGGGGTGCGACGTCATAAACTGCAGGTCAGATACTTCTGCATCTGCATCTTACTATTTTTCTTGGTATAGTGATATCGGGCCATTTGGACTAAGCCACACACAATGTACCAACTATGAATTGTTATCGAACTTTTCACTAAGAGGAGTTGAACCTAAGATTCCTCTTTGACAAATAGAGAAAAATACCATCTAAAACCTCCAATGTCTTAAACACTCCACTAGCACTACCCGTCGCTAGGATTGCTTTCTGTTTATCTTTCATTTTTATTTGTATTGGTATATATGTTTGTAATGCTAGATAAACTAAAATTTTAAAATATATGATTGTCATTATAAAAATTAAGTACATTAATCAATGTTTAAGTAATAATTTCATTATTAACAAAATTATCATATTATTTACAAAATTTGGTTTAGGTCTCCCTAACATTATCTTATAGGTGTAGATGAGAGCTTTAGATGCATGAAATAAACACTCGACACCAATTGAGTATTATTCTTATTTTTCTTTATTTTGTTATGGAGGCAGTTTTCTCTATTGTCAAATTAAGAGGTCTTGCCCTCAAATCCACAAGCAAGTGAAAATTAATTTGGTCAAGTTTTTTATTTTTTTATTTTTTTTATATTTTAAACAATTGATATTATCTACATTAAAGAAATAAGAGCGTGATCAATAGCAGAGCCACACAGAGCTTAGGATTGGCCCAAGCCTATCCTAGAATCACAACCTTTTATACCTATTGTCTGCAAGGACTTACAAAAACCAGTGTGTCCCATTGGTTAGTGGTGTTTAACAAGTGTCCATGGTTCGATAATTTTTGGTATGCTAACATTTAAATTTTTTTTTTTTTAACTGAAAGAAAAAAAAAATCCTTATAATTTATCTTATTTTTTACCATATTAAAACTAAGCCCTATTTTTATGTTATAATTGGCCTTATGTTTAAACAATAAAAACCATATAGTCGAGAGCAATGTCTTATTTTAAGTTATACCGTAAATTTAATTCAAAGTTAATGTGTTAATTTTTTTTATATCAAAACTCATAAACAAGTTTTGTTCTTATGATATATCATTTCAATACTAAGTTTTCATACAAAAGTAAGGCTCCACCATTCTCATTTGATTAAAATTTTTCATGCCAATACAAAAATAAAAATAAAAACTTTAATTTTTCTCTCATTAATTTGTCTTTTTTTTTTTGTACGGCTTTAAAGGCCCCTCCTAATCTAATTTTCTGGCTTCACCGCTGAGAGTGGTTAAGCCTCACAATGAGTTAACAATAATGTGATTCAATTTCACATTTGAAAAGAATCAAATATAAAACTTCTCACTTATGAATACACTAAATCGTAGTACTAAATGGCAATTTAGTCAAGTTGACCTTATCTTTTTTTTTTTTTTTGGGTAAACATTGATCTTATATATTAAGTAGTAGTCTTTTGGATCAAGTTGGCCTTAAATATCGTGTTAAAGTAATTTTGAGAAGATGACCTCTTGAATTTGATTCATAATGTCTTTTTTTTAATGTTCGTATAATCTTAATATAATAATGAAACCACTATAACCACCTGAAAAAAACAATTACAATTCCTAAAACGTTATATAATAACAAGCCTTAAAGCAACAAAAGTGGCTAATTACAAAACCAACTATACATATTAGTTTGACGATGATGCCCGGCAATCGCTTTTCTTATATAACAAAGTATTCGTTATTTTTTTTCAAATCTAATTAGATGTCTTAAATATTTCTAATTTGGCTAATATTTTGTAAGGATGATTTATGAGGTGCAACTTGAAAAATAGACGGTTCGTATTGTTAAAATTCGATATCGTGTGGACCCCACAACTAATCCCTATTTTTATAAAAAAATTGGGAATCCCTTCCCTTAAAGGCTTCCTATATATATATATATATATAGACACACACACACACAATACTTAATGAAATCGTATTTGTCAATTAAAAGAGGATGAAAATACATTTTTGTCGTCTACCACAATAAAAAGTCAAGGACAATAATGTGAATTCATAAAACAAATTTTTGCCTTTTTTCTTAAACTTCACAGGTGATTGTATCATGTCTATTTGTGTCTGTTCAAATAGTTTACAAATATCAGTTACAGTTGCATCTGCAGAAAAAAAATTCAAAATTAAAGTTGATCAAATCTTATTTTCGATCAATTATGTCACAAGAAAGATTGAATGAGTTAGCTATGTAATCAATTGAAAAGAAGTGGTTGAAAATTTAGATTATGTAAACTTATTGCGTCTAAAAAGCGAGACATGTAATATTTAACTAATGTTTATATATCATTCTTCTTTTGATATTGATTTTAATGATATTTGATCTAGAAAATATATCTTTTTGTTGTGGCCTATATTTAACTAATAGGGAGAGGGGCCGGCGACACAGGGAAAATATAGAGAGAGATGTGTTTGTAGGGTTGTGTAGAGGATATATTATTTCTCCCTATGCAATGTCTTTATTATAGTAGTAAGGGAGGGAAGAAATCATTCCCCTCAAGGAATACAAGTCCTAATAGGGAAGAATAACTAGAATCAAATCTAATCTATGATTTACACAATCACACTTAAATAAGAAGTTTATAACACTTTTCATG